AAGGAAGAGATGGGTATTGGGAATAATTGTAGTTGGTTAGTTAGTTTTTTTGGTGGATGGTTTGTTTAGGAGGTTTATAGTAGGGAATTTAATATTTATGTGGGGAAAGGTGGTTAGGATAGGTTTTAGAGATTTTTTTGGGTGTGTGTAAGGGTTTGATATTTGTTTGTTGTGTAGTTAAGGAATTAGTTGAAATTGGGGATAAGATTATTATTGAATTTGTGGGTAGATATTGGGGGGAGGTATTGTGAATTTTTGTTGGTTGGTATATTTAGGGGGGGTGTTGGGGTAGGGGTATGTTTTTATTTTTATTTTGGTGGGTGGTTTTGAGGATAAGATAGTTTTGGGGGAGTTGGGTATTTATGAGAAGATTTTTATTATTATTTTTTTGTGTTGGGAGATTTTATGTGTGAGTTTTAGGGGTTGTTATGTTGGGGGGGGGGGGGGAAGGTTTAGTTTTGGAAGTTATTTATAGAGGAAGATGGTGAGGTTGGTTTTATTAAAAGGTGATAGTGGTAGGGAGTTAGTTTTTGAGGTGTTGTTTAGGTAGGGTAGGAGTGGGGTTTATGATTGTTATTTTAGGGGGTGTGGTGTTATTGTAGTGGTATTTATTTATGAAGGGGTTGTAAATAGGGTTAATATATGAGGAGGTTAGGTTGATTGGGGAGGATATGATGAAATAGATGGTGAGGAGGTTTAGGAATTATATTGTAGATAAAATAGAATGGGAAATGAAATAGGGAAGTGTAAAATAAAATGATTGAAAATGTAAAGGGAGTATAATTGAGGTGAAGAGAGGGTTAGGTATGAGGTTAATAAAAAGATAATGAGAGGTAGTATTATTATGGTGATGAGAGATAAAAATAATATATAAGAAGTAAAAAAAAGGTATGTAGTAAAGTGTAAATTAAATAAGGATATAGATAAATGTATGGATAGATTGTTGATTTTTGGAATGTTAGAGTTTTTGTGTTGGTGTGGGATAAGGTATAATTGTGGGGATTTTTTTGATGGGGTTTTTTAAGTTAAAGTGGTGTTAGTGGGATGAGTTTTTATTATTTGTGTTATTATGGTATGTGTTTGGGAGGAAGGAAAGTGTATTGGTGAGAGTGTGGGGGGTGGGGATGGGAAGATTTAGGGAGGTGGAAAGTTGGGATTTGGATTGTGTTTGAAAATATTGAAATGAAGATTTAGGGTTGGGGGTAATTATAGTTATTTATGTAGGGTGGGGGAATGGTATTTTGTGTTATGATTTAGGGATTTTTTGTGGTTTGAAAGGTTTGTGTGGGGGTTTGTTTGGGGGAATGTAGTTTTTATTAGTTGAGGGATGGTGGGAAAATATTTTGGTTTTAGTTATTGAAATGGGATATTGGGGGTGGGGATTGTTGGATATAGGTTGTTGGTTGTGTGAGGTGGAGTGGGTGGGGGGTAGTGGTGTGTTTTGTGGGTGTGGGGTGTGTGGGTGTTTGGGTTTTGTTGTGGGGATTATGGGTTTTTTTGTATTTTTGATTTATTAGTGATATTGGGTTTTGTGTGTTGGGGGTGTGAGGGTTGGGGGGTTGTTGTTGTGGGGGGGTGTGGGTTTAGGTTGGGGGAGTTAATGTTTTTTATTGTTTTTGTTTAAAGAAGAAGAGTGGTAAGATTTAGTTTTTTTGTGGTTGTTTTGTGTTGTTGGTTTTGTTGTGATTGTTTTTGGTAATGGTTGTAAGATAAATTTTATTGATAATTTGTATAGGATGAAAATATATAGAGTTTTTATTGGGATAATTATTTTATATAGAGGTTATGTTAGAGTTGTTTTTGTTGTGTTGGTTTATTGTGGGTTGGTATTTGTATTGTTTGTTGGAGTAGTATTTTGGTGTGAGTTTTTGTTGGATGGGGGTATAGTTTTATATGTGGTTTTTTTGGTGAGTGTTAGTTGTTATGGAATGTGGAGGTATAGATTGGTGATTGGTGTTGAGAGGAATTTAAGGGTATGAGTTATTAATAGTTTTATTAGGAAGGGGTGGGGGTGGATTGGTAGGGAAGGGTTGGGGGTGTATAATTGGGGGTATTTAGTTGTTTTTGTGGGGGAAGAGGGGGGGTGAAGGGTGTGTGAATTGTGGTTGTTGTTTGATGGTTTTTGTGTGTGTTTTTTTATTTATGTTATGTTTTTTTTTGTTTTGGAATTAGTGGAAGAAGGGGGTTGGAGGTAAGGGATTTGGGGTGGTTATGGTGTAATGTAGAGATTTTGTTTATTATGGTGGAGGGGTGTTTTGTGTTAGATTTAATTGGTGTATGTGGATGTGGGGGGGTTGAGGTTAAGGATTGATTTTGGAGTTTTGGTGTGTTGGGTGGGTGTGTGTTGGTTGTTTAGGGTTTGGATTTTATGTGGATGGGGTTTTGTTGGGGGGGGGTGTATTGGGGTTGGTGTTATGGTTTTGGTTATGTAGTAGAGTGTGGGAGGTAGGGGTTTTGAGGGGGGTGTTTGATTTTGTAGTAATTAAGTTTGTTTTTGTGTTTGTTTAGAGAGTATTTTTATTTTTTTGATAGTTGTTGGGGGAAGAGTGTTTATTTTATGTTAAGTTTTCGATTATTTGTTTTTGTATGTATAAAGAATTGAAGTGGTTAGATTTGGGTTGATAGGTTGGGTTTTTGTTTGGTATGGTATGTGTGGAGAGAGAGATAAAAAAAGAGGAGATTTATTATAGAAGGGTAGGGGAGAGAGAGTATTTATTTGTTAGATTTATGAAAATTAGTTGTTTTTTTATAAATTATTTTTGATGGGAGATTGGGAAATATATAAATTGAGGATGAATAGATGGGGTTTTTGGGATGTGGTAGGATTAGGGATAAGGGTATTATGGAGGTAATGTATGAGGATTAAGGAGTGAGAAGGGGGTGGGGAAGTTGTGTAATTATTTAGGGTTATTTTTGTGTAGAAAGGTTTGAATTGTGGGAGGATGGGATTATATTAGGATTGAAAGGTAATAGTAGATAATAGGGTGTAAGGTATATTATTGATATATAGTGGATAATGTTTGGTTTGGAGTGTAGTGTGAGGATGGGGTTGAAGATGGGGGTAGGTTGAGTGTATTTTTGATATGGGAGGGATTTTGATTGGTATAAGAGAATGTTTGTGTGGTTTTTAGGTAAAGGTTAAGGTTATTTTTGGGTTATGTATTTTAAGAATAGAGGATAGTGTATTTTAGGTTGGGTGGGGTTGGGGGATAGGTGAGTGAGTAATAGTGGGGAAAGGGGGGGAGGGGATGGAGTATAATTGTGGGTTGGTTGGTTGTTTGTGTGAAATGGGGTTGTTATGATGATGGGGGAGAATTGGAGGATGAATTTGTGTTGATATGTTTATTTGTGTTTTAAGAAGTATTATTAGATATATGGGGGATGAGGATATTTGATAAAATAAAAAAAATAGAGTAATAAGAGGAGATAGAAAAAAAGAAGGAAAGGTGGGGAATTAGATAAAAAGAAATGATAAAAAAAAGAGGGTTAGTATGGAATTTGAGAGGATATTTTGTTTTATGGGGTGTGTTTTATATGGGGAGTGATTTGGGAGTAGTGGTGAGAAGAGGGGAGAATATTAATTTGATTGGATAAAAGAATTTATTGGGAATTGGTGTTAGGGGGTAGATAGGGATTGTTTTTGTGGAGTGGAGTGGAGTGGGATTGGGTTATTTTTGAAAATAATTTTATGTTGGAAAGGTAAATAGAATATATGGAGGAAGGGATTAGAAAAGAGAAGATAAAATTATTATATATATATATAGTAAAGGAAGGAGAGAATGTGGGAGGAGGAGGATAGAATTTAGTTATTATATAGGTTGGGGTTTTAGGAATGAGGTTGTTGGGGGGGAGGAGGGTATGTGTATTTTTGAGGTTGAGGGAATGATTTGTAGTAGGTGGATTTGGATGTATAGGGGTAGGGAATTAGATATATTATTTATTTATTTAGAGAATTGTTGGTTTTTGGGGGTTTGATTTGTTGTATGGGGAAAGGTAGTAATTTTGGGTTGGGGGGGTTTATTGTTTTTTGTGTTTGTGGAATAGTGAATATTGGTATTTAAGGGTGGAGAGTTTGTGGAGGGTGTGGGTATAATAGGAAGGTGGGAGAGTTATTATGATTTGGATAATTGATAAAGGATAAGTAAGGGTTTTTAAAAGAAGATTTATTTAGAGTTATTTAATAGATAATGGGCTTATTTATGGGATTGGAGAGAAAAGAGTGAGATAAAGAGAAAAGGAGAGTATGAGAGAAAAATAGAGGATAATTATTTATGAAGAAAGTTTTGGTTTAGATGTAATTGGGAATGGAGTTAGTGATGGAGGGGGAGGTTTTATATAATATTATGATGTTGGGTGGGGATGTAGGTTAAAAGGGGTGATGGTAGGGAAGGGGGGGTTTTTTGTTTTTTTTTTTTTTTTTGAATATAGGGTAGGTGGAATTTAGAGGGGTTAGATGGGTGGTGTTTTGTAGTGTTAGGGTATGAATGGTGTGTTTGGTGGAGATGATGTTGTTGGAGGGGGGGGTGGGAGTGTAATGATAATTGGATAAGAGAAATGATAAAAGTTAAAGGGTTGAGTAAGAAGGGGGGGGGGGGTATTTTGTTGGTGTATGTGGGATTTTGGGGATATTTTGATTGGGGTTTATATAATGGAATTGGGTAAGGATTTTTAGGTAGTAGTTTTGTTAGGGTATGAGAAGTGGTTGAATTTAGGTTTTTATTTATAAGGGTTTATGTAAGAATGGGGATGAGGAGATATAGGGGGTAGGGTGATTGTTGTGTTAATTTTGGGTTATAAGTGTGTATGGTTGTTTATATTTTATGGGTTTAATGTTATTTAGAGTGAAATAGTTAGGATGATGTGGAGATTTTTGTTGGGGTGTGTTGTTGGGGGTTTTGGGATTGGGTTTTTGTTGGGGTTTTGGATTGGGGGTTTTGTTTGGTGGTTTTGGGGTTTTGATGGTTTGTTGGGTTTGATTGGGTGTTTTGTGTGGGGTGTTTATGGTTTTGGAGTGTTTGTTGTGTGTGTTTTATGTGTGTTTTTGGTTTTTGTTTGGTGTATGTGGGTTTTTTGGTTTGTGTTTGTTTGTGTTTGATTGGTTGTGGTTTGGTGTGGATGGGGGTTGTGTTTGTTTGTTGTTTTTGTTTTGGTGTGGGTGGTTGTGTGGTTTTTGTTTGTTTGTTTGTGTGGGTTTGGTTGTTGTGGTTTTTGGTTTTTTTGGGTGGGTGTTGGGGGGGTTTTGTGTTATGTTTGTTGATGATTTGGTTTGTTTGTGGGTGGGGGTGGTTTGTTGTTTTGGTGGGGTGGTGTTGTTTGTGGTTGGGGTGTTGGGGGGGGGGGTGTTGGTGGGGTTGTTGTGGGTTTGGTTGGTTGGTGTGTTGTTTTTGGTGGGGTTTTTTGGTGGATTGTTGGGTTTGTTTGTGGGGTTTTTGGTGTGTTGTGGGTGGGGGGTGGTGTGTTGTTTTTTTGTTTTGTTGTTTTGTGGGGTTATGGTTTGGTTGTTTTTGTTAGTGTGGTTTTGGTGTTGGGGGGTGTGTGGGTTTGTGTGTGTGGTGATGGATGTTTTGGTGGGGTTTGGTGTTTGTGGGTGGGTGGTTTTTTTTTTTGTGTTTTTTGTTATATGGATGGGTTTTTTGTTTGTATTGTTGTGTGTTTTTATGTGTTGGTTGTGTTTGTTTGTGGGTTTGTTGGTTTTGTTGGTTTATTTGGTTTTTGTTGTGGTGTTATGGGGTTGTGGGGTGGTGGTTTTGGTTTTGGTTGTGGTTGTTGTGGGGTGTGATGGTTGTTTGGTGTGTTGGGTGTTTTTTGGGTGTTTTGTTTAGGTGTTTTTATTGTTTGGGTATTTTTTTTGGATTGGTTGTTTTTTTTTTTTTATTAGTTTTTTTTTGATTGTAGTATGGTTTGTTGGTTAGTGTTTTTTTGTATAGGGGATAGGTTTGTTTATTTATGTTAGGAATTGTGTTAATAGTTAGTTAATATTGTATGTTTTGTGGTGGTGGGGGTTGATTGTAGTAGTTGTGGGAGTTTTTTGTGTGTGGTTGGATAAGTATGTTTTTTGTGTTTGTGGTTGTGTGAGTGTTTGGAGGTTATTGTGTGGTTGTTGGGGGGAGTTGGGTTGATGTTTTTTTTGTTTTGATGTTTGTTATTTTTTGTTTTTTAGGTATGTGTGGGGTTTTGTATTTTTGTTTATGTTAGGGGGGGTTGGTTTTGGTATGGTGATGTTTTGTTTTTTTTGGTGATTTGGAGTATGGGTGGAAGGTTGATGTATTGTAGTTTTTTTGGGTTGGGGTGGATGGAGATATTTTTGATTTTTAAAGGGATATTTATTTAATAGATTTTATTTGGTTAATTGTTAGTGTGTTGGTTATGTGTGTAATTTTTGTGGGATGGAGAATTTTTGTTTTTGTGGGGTGGTGAATTTTTGTTTGTGATTTGGGGGTAATGATTAATATTTTTTATTTGTTTTATAAGGAGGGTTGTTGGATTTGGTTTAAGAGGGGGAGGGATATGGGAAGAATTGGTGAATGGTTTTTTTGGGGGGGAGGGTTGTAATATAAATTAAAAGTGTGGTGAGTATTGATTTTGGTTGTTTTTTATTAAGGGGAGATAGATATATTTTATGAAGATAATTGATTGGATGGAGAAATTTAAGGTAAGAAAGAGAGAAAGGTAATTAAATTATTAAATAAATGATTTTTTGAAATATATTGGTTTATTTTAAAGGATTATTGAATAATATAAGGAGTTATTGTGGATTGAATGAGAAGGTTTGTAGGGATTTTGTTTGTGGGATTAGTTGGTTTAGTGTTGAGTTGTATGTTTTATTTTGTTGTATGTATTAGGGGGGTGTTATGGGTTTTTAGTTATAGGGGATTTTGGTTGATTTTGTATATTTTAGGGTGATAGGGTGGGGTGTAGGAGTGATTGATTTTTTTATAGGGGGTGTGTTGGGTGTTGGGTGTGGTATTTTAGATTAGTGGGTGGGTATTATTTTGGTAGATTGTAATATATATTGTTGGGTTTTTTTAATAGTATATGATTAATTGATTGATTAATATATTGTTTATTTGGAATTTTTTTGGTTTAAAAAGATTTGGTATATTGTTTTGTGGGAATTTAATAGGGTAGGGGGATTGGGAGAAGTGAGTGTGGGGGATGGTAGAGTTAAGAATAATAATAAGAGGGTTTTTTATTTTTGGAGTGGGGAAGTTTTTTATATTTAGTAATGGTGTTAATTTGTTGGTTTGGGGGTTTGTTTTTGTTTTGTTTTTTATTTTTAGAATAGATTATGTTGGGATTTAATGGTATGGGTTTTTTGTTGTGTAGTTTTTTTGATTTTTGTTTTTTTGGGTTTTTTTGTTAATGTTGGTTATATTTAAGTTGGTTTTAAGATTGGTGTGTTTTTAGTTTATTAGAAGGGTGGATGTGTTGTAGGTTAATGGTTGGGGTTTGGGTATTGTTTTTTTGGGGTGTGTGGATTGGAGTTGTGGAGGGGTAGTGGGGGGGTGGGGGGTTGGGGAGATATGTGGATATAGAGGGAGGGTGTATTGTGTTATGTTTTTGTATGTAGTGAATTTGAATGGTTGAATTTTTAAAAGATTAAAGGTGGGGTTTGAGGGGGGGGGGTTTTATTTTGGTTGTTTTGTGTATAATGTAAAATGATTATGATTAGTGTATATGGAAATGTGGTGGGGGTTGGTGGTTATTTGAGATTTGGAATGGGGGTTTGTTTTTTTTTTTGTGTTGTATGTTTTGTATTTTTGTTGTATTAATTTTTGTATTAGTGGAGGGAGAGGTTTATTAAGGATTGAGTTAATGTTGATGATTAGGGAATAATGAGAGATTTATTTTATGGGAAGAATTTGATTATAAAATGTATTATAGATTTGTGGTTTTTGTAGTGAATGATATGATATATTATTAATAAAGTATTTTTTGGGTATATATAGAGTATATTGTTTTTTGTATTTATTGAGATTATTAATTTATATTTGTATATTTATTATTTTTATTTGATTTTATTTATTGGATAGTATTTATTTATAATGGATTTGTTTAGGGGAATGGGGGGAGGTTATTTTCTTAATGGATTATATTGTTAAATATGATTTAAATATAGGTTTTGGTTAATTTAAGGTGAGGGGGTGTTGTTTGGGATGGGGGAGTTTGATTTGTTGAAGAATAGATAAGTGGTTTTGTTTGTGGTTGGGGTGAGAAGTTAGAGGAATTGAATTTATTGTATAATGAGGGTAAGGGGTTAGGGTGGTGTTAGGGATTGGTTATTGGGGATGGGGAAATATAGATTATTTATTGAAGAATGTATTAATGAATTTTAGTGGTTGAGAGAGATTATATTATTATTTTTTGTTTGGAATGTGGAGATGAAAAAGTAAGAATAAAGAAATGAGGGTTTTATTTGAAATTTTGGGATTGGGATTTAGGTGTTTTAGGATTTTTTGATTTTAGTATGGGGTGGTTTTTGGATATTGGAGTTTATGGTTGGGTTAAGTGTGTTTGAGTGTTGTGGTATTGGTATTATATTGAATATTAAGTTAGAGATGTTTATGTTATTTTAGAATGGGAATAGAAGGGATGGTGGGGAGGAGAAGGTATGTGGGAAGAATGTGGATGGGGAAAAATAATATTGATATGTATTATGAGTTGGGAGTGGGAGTGGTGGTTTGGGAATGGGGGTGTAAAGGGGGGGTTGGGGATGTTGTTGGGTGTTGGGATATGGGGGTGTTAGGAGTTTTGGGTGTTTTTTGGTATTGTGGGTTTATATTAGGTGTGGTAGTTTGGGTTTTTAGGGGGGGTTTTTTTTGATATTTTGTGTTGTGGTGGGGGTTGGTTTAGTGGAGTGTTGTTTTATTTGTGGGGGGAATTTGTGGTTGTAGTGTGGGTTGGGGTTGGTGGAGGGGTGGGGGGGGTTGTTAATTTTTGGTTTTAAGGGGGTGTTTTTTTAAAATGTGATTTTAGTTAGGGATAGAGTTATTGTGATAGTTGGTTGGATGAAATTGAGTTGGTTGGGTGGGGTTGGTTTGTTTTGGTTTTTGTTTTGGGGGTGTTGTTATTGGGGGATTGGATTGGGGTAGAGGTGTAATATTTTTATTTTTATTGGTTTTTGTTTTTGTTTTAATATTTTTTTTGTGAAAGTGATAGGTTTTTTTTGATTAGTTTGGGTTTTGTGATGATGGGTTGGGAGGTTGATTGAGTTGTGATGTGTTGTGTTTTGTTAATATTTATAATTGGGTAAGGGGGGGATATTTTGGGTAAAGTTGAGGGGGATTGGAATATGAAATGAGGAGGGTTTGGGATGGGAAATAAAGATGAAGAGGTGGGAGAATTGGATGGAAAATAATAGTTTTTATGGTATTGTGTGTGGTTGTTGTAGGTGAGGTTGGGTAAGAGGTTTAGTGTATGATGGGAAGGATGTTTATGAATATGATTTATGGGTAAGATTTTTTAATTTTGTGTAAATATGAGAGTGTTAATAAAATATTGTAAATGGTGTTGTTGAGTTATGGGTTTTATGTATGAGTTTTAGAATTTTTTGTGTTAGTTTGTTGTATTTGGTATTGGTGTGGGGTGGGGTTTTTGGGTGGTATGGGGTTGTTAGATTAAGGTGATGAGATTGAGGGGGATTGGGGAAGGATTGAGGAAATGGGTGGTGAATTTGTGTGATGTGGTAGAGAGGAGGTATATGGTTATTTGATGTTTTGTAAGGAGAGGGGGTGAGTGTAGTTTTTTTTTATTGTATGTAATTAGATTAGAAGTGGAGTTGGAGAGTTTTTGTGGTTTTTATTGTTATTTTTTTTGGTGTGTTTGGTAGGGAGTTGATGTGGATGTGGGGTGGGGTATAGGTGTGGTTGGGGGAGTTAGTATGGTGGGGTTAATAGATGGTGAGGTTAAAGGGGTTGATGAAAAGGAGGGGGATTGGTGGTAAGAAGTGGGAGATGTGAAAAAAAAGAGGATAGGATGATATTAATTGTAGTTTGGTGATTTTTATGATGTGAGTATAAGTAAATAATAAGAAGAGAGAAATGAAAGGAAAATATATAAATTTTTTTTAAAATGAAATGAGGGGTGGAAATTTGAATTGTGAAGTGAGTTGTATATTTGAAGAAATTAAGAATGGGATTATTATTTTATTTTATGGAGGGGGTATGTGGATGGATTGGATTGTATATTTTTATGGGTAATTTGGGGTATGAAGGATTTTTGTTTGGGATGAAGTGGGAGGTAGAGGGGGAGAGTTTGTAGTATGTGGTTGGTGGGTTAGAAGTTTGAGGTGGAGAATATATTTTTTGTTGTGGAATAGGAGATGGGGTTTTAATAAGTTTTTATGTGTTGGGGGTTAGGGTGGGTTGTGGTGGGTTTTTTGTTGGGTTATAGTAGGGTTAGTAAAAATAGTTTTATTGAATTAGGGGGATGGGTGAGTGATTAATAAGGTGATTTTTGGTTTGGATGAGATTTTGGGGGTAGTGTGAGGTGTGGGTATTGGTGGAGTTAGGTAATGATATGTGGTTGGGGGAGTGTATTTGGAGTAAGAATGGAAGGGGTGGGAAGGGAGTTAAAAAGGGGTGGGAGGAAGATTAGATTTAGAATATATTTTATAAATTTAAATGTAGAGGGGATGTTATTTTGTATTTGGATTATGGGTAAGGGGGAAGGGAGGTTGTGTATTTTTATGTAATTGGGAAATTTATTTTAAAGTTTTATTTTGTTGGTATGTGGGGGTTAAGTGTTTGGTTGAAGTAGTTGTAAGTGTTATGAAAGAGGATTGTTTATTTAGGAGGGAAGTATTTATGGATTAATTGGGAGT